AGGATAATACCTGTGTAATAAGATAGTTTAAATAACAGAAAGAAATATGATCACATGACAGTGTACATGAGCCATAGTTAGTTGTTAAGAATATATTTACTCTGAGTTCTCTTTTACCCACTTAAAAACATAGACAAACAATGGAAAAAAAAAAAAACAGAAAAATGTTCCAAAATAAATATTCTTCCATAATTTCTAGAAGGAAGTTACAATACACTAAAAAGAGTTAGAGAGGACCTAGTTTGTACTGAGCAACCTTCCCCAAACCCTGAAGCAGGTGTAATCTTTATCTAACACCAGAGATGAAAGTCTTGACTATATCCAACCCCTACAGTCCCCTTTGTCTAGCATTGACAGAGGAAGTCCACTCTAGCCTTAGAAAAACATGGGTGCCCAAGCGTTCCTCAAAGAGGCACTCAACTGTTCAAATTTAAAGATCTGGAGGAATATGTCAAACTGGTTTGGTTTAAGGCCAAGCTGAACTACATGACCAGGCTACTCACCTGAATCAAAGTCAGTAAAAGGGTACCATTCCCCAGAGCTCTGTTGTAGGACATTGGATGCTCCAGAGAGGGGGTGGTGGGCATAGGAATATCAATCAGAAGAAACATCAGTCAATGGACCCAAGGCGTAATTAAATTATGTCCACCTTTAACTAAAACCCAGGAAAGTTCTCATTCAAAAACTGATATTTTAAAGAAAACCTAGCTATAAGTCTTTATGACTTTGGATTAGGCACTGGTTTCTTAGATATACACAAACAACCCCAAATAGATAAATTCAACGTTATTAAAATTTAAAAATTTTATACTTCAAGGGACATTATCAAGGAAGTGAAAAGATAATACACATAATGGGAGAAATATTTGCAAATCATATATCTGACAAGGGTCCTGTATCCAGAATATACAAAGAATTCTTATAACTGAGCAATACAAAAAACAAATAACTCAATTTGACAATGGGAAAATGCGTGTGAATAGACATTTCTCTAAAGGATACATATAAATGACCAATAAGCACATGCAAAGATGTTTAATGTTATTTGTCAGTAGGAAAATGTAAAGCTAAACCAAAATAAGATACTGGGGAGATTGTGGAGAAAATGGAATTCCTATAATTGCTAGTGGGAATATAATATGGTGTGGCCACTGAGCTTGGAATACAATTTGTTAGTTCCTCAAAAAGTTAAATATAAAGTTGTATAGGATGCAGCAATTACATGCCTAGGTATATAACCAAGAGAACTGAAAACAGATGTTCACGCAAAAACATGTAAAAATATTCAAAGCAGCATTATTCATAATAGTTAAAAGTGGAAACATCCCAAACAACTATCACTTGATGAATAGATAAAAAATGTGGTATATGTTCCATAAAAAATGGAATATTATTTGGCCATGAAAAGAATTGAAGGACTGACACAAGCCACCTCAAGGATGAACTTTGAGAACATTATGCTAAGTGAAAGAAGCCAGATGCAAAAGGCCATGTAATGTATTATTCCATATATGTGAAATTTCCAGAGCAATTAAATTTATATAGAGAGAAAGTAGATTAGTGGTTCCTATAAATTTATGGATTGCAAGAAGTGGGAGAATGACTGCCAATAAGTATGGGCATTCTTTTTAACATTACAAAAATTTTCTGGAATTAGGTAGTGGTGATGATTGCAAAACCTTTTAAATATAGTAACAGACACTGAATGGTATGCCTAAAAATGGTGACTTTTATGATATACGAATTATACTTTAGTAATAACAGCAACAACAACAATAATAATGTAAGTTGTCTTTCCACATTTCTCTGCCCAGTATTTTCATGAAAAAATACATCTCACTTTCACAGTCAGTGGCCAGAATATCATGCTGACAGCCTGTTGTGAGGAAATACATTAGATTAAAAAAAGGCTTGTTTTTGTTTTTGTTTTTGCAGAAATAAGGTATAGGTTAGAGAAACACCTACTCAGAAAGAACGGACACAGTTGAATTGGAAAATGTGCAAAAGGGTGTGGGGGAGAGGGGACTCTACCTGAGATCTGGCTCCAGTACTTACAGTGAGGAGAACCTGGCCAAGTTACAGACTCTATACCTTGGTTACTTCATCAGCAAAACAGGGCAAAGTAAAGCTTTCCTCACAAGTCGCTTGTGAAGATCACAAGTGATAATATGTAAGAAAAATCATCTCACAAACTGTAAGATTGATGATATCAATGGGTCCTCAAACTGACTGCACATCTGAGTAACGTTGACAAATGCATTCCAGGCACCAGGTAAGGCACTTGAATCAGAATCACGGCAACGGAGTTGATGGAACTGTATTCGCACTAACTTTCCCAGGTGTTGTTTCTTACTCTGATCAGCTTGGGGGTAGGAACCACTAAGCTGCATCACATCATCCCAAAGCCACGATACAAAAGTAGGCCAGAGCAGAACAACAGGATGTGTTCGTTGCAGCCTCTAAAGCCCAGAGAAACTGGGGGACTCTAGGACACCTGGATCCTTGGGCCCCATTTTAGCTTTATCTGGAGTACAGCAGAGATACAAGCCCTTGGAGACATGTGCTTAAGGCACTGATCGTCCACATTGGAACAGTGAAAGTCCTAGTTTCAAATTCAAACTTTGAATAGAATTTTTTTTTACCTTTTCTGCACAGTGATGAGACCAGTCTTCTCCAAGCCTCTCACCTTACAAGAAAAGGAATCGTTTGGCTAAGAATTCAGACTTCAGTAGAGATATGTAAGTAAGGAGGACTTATAAATAATCTAGCTGCCTAAGAAGAAACTAGAAAGTTAGCAAGTACATTCATGTTTTGGACAGTTGTGCTCGCCAGATCAGAGGCATTCAGACATGAAGAAAAGACCCCTTAGTAAAAGAGAAATAATTCCTTCCTATACTAGGACATTATCGCCAACTTCAGGGAAGTGGGGTCATAGCTGCCTGCTCTAAAGCATGGGTCGCTTTTGCATTTAGGATGTGTTTGACATCCTGACACCTGCGCCCATTTTGGGGGAGGCCAGGGAAGAGCCAGAATTTTTGGTGGTGTTGGACAGTGCATGGAGATTGTTCAGCAGGAGGAGGGTAAGTGCCAGGAGAAAGACCAGGACATGCTGAGAGACAATGAGCAGCACGAATAGGGACAAGTACACGATGAAAACAAAAGTTAATGCTTCATCTTCAAAAACTCAAACCAATTATTTGTCCTTACAAGTAATAAAAAGTATTTTTTTTTATTTACAGGAGAATTTAGTTGCAGTATAGAAATCAGAAAAATTTTAAGGCCAGGCATGGCGGTTCATGCCTGTAAGCCCAGCATTTTGGAAGGCTGAGGCAGGTGGATCGCCTGAGGTTGGGAGTTCGAGACCAAGCTGGCCAAAGTGGAGAAACCCCTCTCTACCAAAAATACAAAATTAGTTGGGCATGGTGGCACATGCCTGTAATCCCACCTACTCTGGAGGCTGAGGCAGGAGAATTGCTTGAACTCGGGAGGCAGAGGTTGCAGTGAGCTAAGATTGCGCCATTGTACTCCAGCCTGGGCAACAAGAGCGAAACTCCGTCTCAAGAAAAACAAAAACAAAAAAAACAAACAAAAAAAAGAAATCAGAAAAATTGTAAGTTCAGGTGTAAAACCCTAAACCATAGCTTCAATTTAATCTTTCTAAATAGAACAAAGAATAAAAACTCCATAAAACATACATTGTGCTATAAAACCCACAATGGATTACGACCTGCACCTTCCTCTAGGGGATTACACATGTACCCTGAAGATCATCAACCACCGCTGCCCATTACTAATCTCACCACATTCTTTTAGTGGAAGACAATCGCAGATCAATGGTGTTAGGCCAACTCAAAAAACAAAACAAAACAAAAAAACACCTAACAAGCAATATTCCATAAAAACCACTCATGGACCCTGATCTGTTTAATATACAGGGGAACTGAATGAAAACAACAAAATAGCCTCAGCTTTATAAGACTTCCCAAGATAGGTGGTCTCTGCATGTTTTCAGGAGGTATGCATAAATGATTTTGATCACTTGATATCTTGAAAAGAGCAATTGTGAATCTAGAATGACATCCATAACTGAGAAGTATGAAATGGAGTATTTAGAGACATTAAAATACAAATCAGCCTATAGACAGTGGAAGAGCTTCAGCAGTAGGGATGTCAAACTGGTCATAAGTGTAGTGAAAAGCCAACGTGCTGCCCCAGTAAGGGAAAAGAAATCAACATAACAATGGGATGCCGCAAGAAGAATATTGAGACAATACAGAAAACATTTTGAAAATGAATCATTCACTCACCTAGTATTATATTCTGCTTTTGGTCTTACACTTTTTAGAGGATACAGAGAAAACTGCAGAAGACCCAGAAAAGCACATCATGGCAGCCTAAAAGTTCCACATCTTTCACTTGCAGAAAAGCCTTCAGATCTGTTTTTACTTAAAGAGAAGGTGGGTGACTTCAGCATAACCATTGAGAATAAAACCTGTTGAGAAATTACTTCTGCCTTGATGATTTTATCCACGTAAGGGATGAACAATGAGAAATATGCTTAGATTTATTGGGAAAGAGATAGGTCTGTTGTATTGTCACAAGGGTACACAAATACTCAGAATGACAGCTGAGGGAGGTGTCCCCATCAGTGGTGACCCTCAGCGGAGATCAGGAGGCCTTGTGTTTCAGCATGGCCTAGGCAGGTGGAAGGCAGGGGCTCCAAGATTCCATGACATCGCCACCTTCTAATTCTCTTATAGTGATGGCAGACCATTACCTGACCCACTGGACACTACTTCCCTCACTCCCTTCAGAGTCTGAGCTACAGGCAGTGCCTTCTGCTCCAAGCTCTGGCACCTTAAACTTTGTTTTTGGCAGTTAAAGACTTTCAGGTGTTGGGTGTTGATCAAGTTTTTCTGAACAGTAAGGTAAGAATTCCAGTTATTGTCATCCCTCAGTCCTGATTAAACCTGTTTGATTTCACTAGTTTTTAACCCATCTTGTGTTTGAGTTTCTTCTCCCCAGTCACTGGCTCTACCTCTTCTGCCACAAACGTCAGCGTAGCAGAATCTGTCAGCCCTTTGTCCAGTAAGAGAGCAGAAATGAACATCCTAGAAATCAACCAGGAATTGCGCTCACAGCTGAAAATGAGCGAACAGCAGTTCCGAGACCTCAAAGAGAAATTTCTTGTCTCTGAAGCTCCTGCCTACTGTCTGACCAACCAGTTACAGAAATACAGTAAGTTCTACAGGCTCATTATCACCAAAGTGATAAGTGATCACTGTCTTCTCTCTGAGAAACTAAACACTCTTTAGACCTGATTCCTCTCTTTTCTTCATCAAAATAAACTTCATCCTTCCCATGCTCCCAGAAAAGTAGAAATAGATATTTTAATCTCATTTTGCTGAGGACTGAAAAACTGGGCACGAAGTGTTTAGCAACTTTTCCACATTTGCAGTGAAGTGTAGGGTGGGGTTAGAGTTAAAGTCCCAATTATTGATGCCTGATGCAGACACAAAACTTCCAGTTTCTCTCAGTAACAGCCTAAACCATTTTTACTAGGACCCTCTCTGTGCCATTTAAAATCCTGCAGGCAAATAACGTTTAGTCTGTTGGTGTAAATGTCTGAAACTAATGAACTTTTCTTCAATTTAAGCGTCTATTGAGGCCCAATAGGCAAAGCCCTGTGCGGTCCACACTGGGGGAAAGATGGTGATAGTTCACAGTCCCTGCTTTCCAGGACCTTAATGAGGAGTCTGCTCTTAGTAGAACCTGTGGTATCCACAAGTGACAGCATCAGGAGCAGGGACGACCCTGCTGAGAGGGAAGTCCTGCTTCCCAGAGCAGAGGCTCTTATTCCTAAAGAGGAAGAAAGAGAGCGCTCAAGACTCTGCTGAGGTAGCAGTGCAGTGTGGAGAGGAGGGACCCTGGGCTAGTCTCCTGGGCTCCAGTCCAAGTTGTTTATCTTCTTTGTCTCAGTCTCCTGTTCTATTAATAGAGTCCTATAATAATTCCTACCTCTGTAAATTGCTGCAGTGAATTACAGGAACTCGTTCTTGTAAATCTCCTGGAACAGTCCTTGGCACAGAGTAAAAACTATTTATTAGTTATTTGTTCTACTATTTCTAATTTAACACAAACTTTATTAGCATTTGGGCATTTTTTTTTCAGGGCCTTATGGTCTTATGCCTCATATTTTACTAAATTGTGTCCAGATATGATTTAAAAAATCTTGGTGATATTTGTGCTTGAAATTCCCAATACAAGGGAACCATCAGTCCCATAGTTCTAGAAGCCTTCCGGAGGGTACAGTAGATCACTGCTTTATGTTCCAGCTCAGTGTTTTACAGGAGAGGCTGCAAGGCTTGGCAAAGTGGCCCAGGATTCAGAGTCAGATCTTAGTGGATGTGAACTCTGACTTTGCCTCATTCCAGTTGAGTCATGTTTTCTAGTTATTTCATGTGCCTTTGAGTTCCTCTTTTCTCATCTGTAAATTAAGGCGTATCAGCTGCCTTGTATTTGGAAGGTTGGTAAAGTTGTGGCGCTTCTGTTGAGGCCCAAAAGGCAAAGCTCTTGCTGGCTGCACTAGGAGAAGCGATGGTAGCACAGAGCATCTGCTTTAAAGAAACCTAAAGAGGAGGCTACTCCTGCCAGACACTGTGGTACCTGTAAGTGACAGCATCAAGTGCTGCCGAGAGCCTGGTACCGGGGATCCTTGTGTCCTTGGGGTGGATCCTGACTTCTCGCCTGTATGCAGTGACATGTCCAACCTCCCACCGAGACAGGTGTGTCTTTTCTCAGAGTGTGAGGAGCATAAAGGCATCACAGAATCTGTGCTGGGGGAGAAGATGCAGTTCAAGGAGGAGAAGCTGGCAGAGAAGTCGACACAAGCTGAGGAGCTCAGGTGAGGGAGGCTCTGTGTGGTGGGGCAGGCAGGTGGAAGGTGTGTGAGTCTCTGACGGGGGCAGCTCAGCTGGACAAATAAGAGCTAATCCGGGCCAGGAGAAGGGCAGCGATTTACATAGCAGGCACATATTGTGCAAATATTTATAAAACAATTACAGAACAACAATGCTAGTAAATTATGGGCTACAATTGTTACTCAGAACAAGTAACTATTGAGGCAAAATTTGTAAAACACAAAATTAACCAAAGGAAAGTGAACAACTCAGCATTTAGTATACTCAAAATATTGTGCAATCACCACTACATTTTCTCTTTTTAAACGTTTTATTTTAATGTTTGTGGGTACATAGTAGGTGTACATATTTATGGAGTGCCTGAGATATTTTGGTACAGGCATGCAATGGATAATAATGACATCACATAAAATGGGGTGTCTATCCCCTCAATAATTTGTTGTTTATGTTACAAACAATCGATTATACTCTTTTAGTTATTTTTAAATGTACAATTACATTATTAGCTATAATCACACTGTTGTGCTATCAAATGCTAGGTCTTAGTCATTCTATTTTTTTGTACACATTAACCACCCCCATAACCTCAGCTTCCATTATGCTTCCCCGCCTCTGGTGACTATCCTTCTACTCTTTATCACCATGAGTTCAATTGTTTCGATTCTTAGATCCCACAAATAAGTGACACCATGTGATGTTTGTCTTTCTTTGCCTGGCTAATTTCACTTTGCATAATGACCTCCAGTTCCATCCATGTTGCCACAAATGACAGGATCTCATTCTTTTTTATGGCTGCATAGCACTCACTGTAAATAAGTATCACGTTTTCTTTATCCTTAGAATCATCTTCTGACTTACTGCCTTCTCATTCTTTCATTCATTTGAATGTTATTATGTTGACCCTGTCATTCTTCATTCTTTCATCTCTCTGAATAACCTCAGCTATACTTGGCCACATTTCTATGTGTGGCTTTGTGTCTAGTCACTGCATATTGTGCTATGTGTATTTTTACATGGAAATGTTCATGACCAAAATGAGGAACGAAAGGGACAACTTTCTGAAACAAATTTTGCAAGACATCTAGTTTTCTTTACATGGCAAAAAGTTGAATGGAATGTTGAGGAATCTTATAGGAGCACTCTAATACAGAGGAGGGGTTTTAGTAAAAAATTGTATTTCGGCTGGGCATGGTGGCTCACCCCTGTAATGCCAGCACTTTGGTAGACTGAGGAGGGTGGATCACTTGAGGTCAGGATTTTGAGACCAGCCTGGCCAGCATGTCGAAACCCTGTCTCTAATAAAAACACAAAAATTAGCCGGGCATGGTGACATGTGCCTGTAGTCCTAGTTACATGGGAGGCTGAGGCAGGAGGATATCTTGAACCTGGGAAGTCGATGTTGCAGTGAGCTGAGATTGCATCACTGCACTCCAGCCTGGGGGACAGAGTGAGACTCCATCTCAAAAAAATAATTTTTTTTTTCTATTTGTCAGAGCCATTTCCCCAAAACTGTTCTAAAATTCTGCCTGGAGGGCTTCTTGAGGATATTCTCACAGAAATCTCTGTTGCAGTTCTTTGAACTGATCACTGATCCCTCTCCACTGTTATATTTTCTCTACTATCCCACCTTAGGCGATACAAAGCCTTAGTTCACTCTCAGGCACTAGAGCTGACCCAGTTGAGGAAGAAGTTACGGGAAGGGAGAGAGGCCTCCCTCTTACTCAGTCAGCATCTCAAGGCCCTTCTCACTGATGATGACCCTGACAACCACCAGGGGCAGGACCTCCGAGAGCAGCTGGCTAAGGGGCGCAGGCTGGCAGAGTGCCTTGTCTGCAAGCTCAGCCCAGGTAAGGTAGTCACGGGCCCTGATAATGCAAAGTCCTAGGCTTATGAGAAGACTCCAGACCTCCACACCTGCACAATGACAATTTTATTAGTCGTCTTTCTTTCCACTAAGCATTAGTGCCATGACATGACCAGGACTTCCTGTGTAGGAAAAGAGATGAGAAAGCCAGGGGTTGGAGGTCACAGTACGGCAAAAGCCTCCTTCCTCCTTGACGGAACAGGCCTTTGGAGCAAGAAGCAGCATCCATCCAGTTTTAAAGGACAGGAAGGAGGATGTGACAGGAGGCAGCTTGTTAGAGTGGAGAGAGCCCTGGACTAAGAATGGATGTTCCCAGGCTCTATGCTCAGCAATGTCTTAGTAACTGTGGGCCAGCAATTTATCCTTCCTGGATGTCTAACTGGAAATGGAGACGAATTATCTCCTGTGTGGTAGATACAGCATTCAAATGTGGGAACACACATAAGTGTGTTTCAAAATAAGACAAAGACCCTCACTGTGTGATATTAGATAAGGTAGTTGATGTGGTAGCATGTGGTGTTAGGAAAGTTGTTAAGACTAGAACACTCTTCATGGAGAGAATTTCCCAGGACAATACAGCAGAAGCTACTTGGAGGGCCTGTGAAGTCCCCTGATGTATCGAGTGGTGCAGGACAGGTTGTTTATCCTCTCCTAAGAGAAAGAAATAGGTTTTAGTGAGAGCTGTGAGGGGATGTGGAGTCTGTGCCTGGGAATCAGATCTGTGGCCAGAAGGGGAAGACAGCTGCTGAAGTCCAGAGGGAAGATGGACAAGGCTCCAGTGATATGAGGCGAAAAAGGTCTTTTAAATTTTTTCCCATGTCATGCTGGTTCTCCAGATCAGAACCACATTGCCAGGGCAAAAAACGTGAGAGCTAAAGATGAAACATGAGGGCTTTCAGTGCAACACTGACTTGTACATAGATGTTCATGTCTCTGTGCTCACATAGCTCACTGTGTTTGCAATGGGTGAAGTGGGAAATATCTGAATGGACATTACTGCACTTGTTTGCAGAAAATGATGAAGTTGGGAATGAAGATGCTAAAGATGAGAAAGTTGAAAAAGTCCAAGGACCACTTGCCTCCAGGTAACAATGAATAATCAGGAGCTGGTAATGGGTAGGTAAAATATGGAAAAGGCCTCAGAAAGAAGACAAGAGAGGTACAGGTTGTCATGGATTCTAGATGCAAGGAAAAAAATTGCAGATTGTATTGATTTAGTGCACTCATTCAACAGTGAAATAGCCCTGTTGACATGGTTGTCTATTTTCTTTGTGGTACTTGGAAGCATGACCTGAGGAGAACTTATCAGCCTTGGGGATTTCCTGCACATACAGAAGAGACCCGTTCTCTTCTGTTATGAAAATCAGGAGGAATTTCATATCTGCTTCCTACACAGTTATCATTAGGTTCTTATGAGTTAGGATACACAGCAAAGAGTTAACAAGGAGAGGAATTAGGAAGTAACTAGCAAAGTAAAACACCAAGAAAAGTACCTAGACCAAAAGTACTTGCTTTTCAAATCACAATATTGGAAGAAGAAGGCCTAGAAGTCACACCATCTCTGGAGTCTACAATGGCTCAGCGTGTATTTTCTTGGCCACAGTATGTTACATTCAACCCAACTGAGCCACATGATGTAGCGGCTGTTGGGGTTCTCCATGTGCTGTGTGTTACATCTGCACCATATAGAGATAGCTGAGTCTCTTCCCTCCTTGGATCCTACCTGCCCAGTGCAATGAGCTCCAGCTGCTCTCTTCTTCTCAGGCCCCCATGGCAGCCACACTCTGTTGCAGAGAGAGGAGGATTGCCTTTTCTCTCTTAAAGGGAACCACTCCTTTGGGTTTTGGAACCACTCACTTATGCCTCCTGACAAAACAGCTCGCACTCCCTGGGGTCTAAGCACTCTTGGTTTGATCTTCTGTCACCTCTGTTATCTCTCTACCACCTGGCTCATCAGGGAGGTACAGGAGACTGAAGAAAAGGAAGTCCCTCAGAACTCACTGGAGGAATATCCTGCCACTTGTTCAATTTGTCATGACCCTTCTGACTCCCACTGGCCTCAGAGGAGTGCCAGAATCACATCCGAGGAAGAGAAAGTCAGCTTTGCTCTGGTTGTATGCAGTGAATCTTCACATTACGAAGGAGAGGAGGAAGTGCTAAACATTCTCCCAGGTAGCTTCTATATTCTTCGTCCTTTGTACCTCTGCCTAGGCTGAGAAAGTTCAACTCTGAGGACAGGGCCTATAGATACATATTGGTTTGAATCAGGAAGTAGGATTAAGTATTAAACATAAATATCAGGTGGGTCAGGGGGCTCCCCTCTCCTCCTCAGCCCATGTCATGCCTTAGTCTCTCTGGCCCCAGTGTCAGGTTATTGCACCTCAGGTAGGTGTGATAAACTCATACCCACCTGTGTACAGGAGGTATAGAGGAGGCATCTGTCAGGTATCTGTCAGATTTCTCCTATCTTGGATCCAATGTCTTTTTTCTCCTGTAGTGATGTAATTTGTGTCCCCGAACAATGTCCTTGGAGTATCTATGCCTGTCAAAGGTCATTGGCCGCCTTGCCTATAGATTTGGAGATGTCGTTACCTTAGTTTTATTGCTCTCAGCTGCAGTCTCTATTCTCCTTTAAGTTGGCTTATCTTAGCTTAGCAGCCACCTCAAAACCCGGACATAAACACTTCTATCTTTATCTTGCTTACAAGTTTCCATAAAGCAAGGCTGAGGCCTGAGTTCTCCACCCTACTAATGGCCAATTTTTCTGTGTAACACCGTATAATCTTTTATTATGAGAGGGTTTTTAGAATTTATCCTTCAGTTCAGACTTGTGTATAAATTCCTCTAAACATTCAACAACCATGACATCTACTGAGACAAGTCAATATTGCAGCGACACTTCTAGAAAGTAGTTAATCAAATTCCTGAAGATCTTGGGGAAAAAGTTTTTTTTTAACTGCCTAACAGACACAGGCCAGAGGATATGCAATTATGATGTACCAGAAGAGGAAGATTCTGCCCCATGGGCCTGGACAGCAGGCTCATCTACTTCTTCCAAGACTTAATCTAGGGCATCCTAGAGCTTTTCTGTAAGAATACCATATTCTTATGCTGAGAATGTTAATACCCTTGTGTTATGATTGGACACTAATTTGGTCATGTGTGGAGTATGATTTGCTTAATGTGATCCTCTCTTCTGAATTTATTTGCAGAAAATCAAAATGATAATGAGGAAGAGGAAGGGAAACAGTCAGTGTCCCCCAGGTAACTCTGATTTGTGAGCTGGTTGTTCAATAGTGGCATCTGGAGGATGACATCAGGGAAACATAGGAGTTTATGAATAGGACTATTTTATACATTCAGTTGACTACAAATTATTCTTTTGAACAATGTTTTCTTTTTTCTTGTGGTACTCATATACATTTCAATCTCTCTCTTTCTTTCTTTCTTTCTTTCTTTTTCTTCCTCTTCTCTTTTTTCTTTCTTTCTTTCTTTTTTCTTTCTATCTCTCTCTCTCTCTCTCCCGTCTTCCTGCTTTCCTTTCCTCTTTCTTCCTTTCCTTTCATTTCCATTCCATTCCTTTCTTTTCCTTTCCTTTCCATTTCTCTCCTCTCCTCTCCTCTCCCTTCCCTTCCCTTCCTTTCCCTTTTCCTTTCCATTTCCATTTCCTTTTCCTTTTCCTTTCCTTTCCTTTCCTTTCCTTTCCTTTCCTTTCTCTCTCTTTCCTTCTTTCCTTCTTTCTCTTTCTTTCTTTTTTTCTGACAGGGTTTCACTCAGTCATCCAGGTGGAGTACAGTGGTACTATCAAGACTCACTGCAGCTTTGACCTTCCTGGCTCAAGTGATACTCCTGCCTTAGCCTGCTTTCAATTGCTTAATCCCTCTCAAGCATAGTATCCTGCAATCAGTTGACCCAAATGAACTCACCAAACTCATGGATTTTTTGATATCACCTGTCCTCTTCCATGTGGTTAAATCCAGGCTGAGATACACCCTGTTAGGTGTCAACTTGTTGGCAAGTATCTGATCACAAGAGAAGAAAATTGAATAAAACCCCAACTCCATATTATGTCAAAATATGTTGCTTCTTCTTTCTCATGAGCTTCTAATCTGGGCAATTCACTGAACATGAGCCATCTCTATCTCTCTTTCTCTTTCTCTCACCATCCCACGGCAGCCACACTCTGTCCCACCATGAAGAGAATAATTTGTACCTTTTATTGGGTCAGCCCCTTTGCTTTCTGCAACTGTTGCCTTATGTCTTCTGTCAAATCCATCTAGGAGTCTGTAGTCCCCGGCCCCCTTGGTTTAACCTTAGACCTTCCTACCCCATCAGTCTCAGCAAGGAGGTGCCACAGGTGGCAGAGCATGAAGTCCTCCAAGAGCCATGGGATGAATGTTGTTTGACTCCATTGATTCCCACTGACCCGTCTGGCTCCCATCTGTCTTACAGAAGCACCTTGTACTCATTTGAGAAACAGCAAGTCTGCTTGGCTCTTGATGGGGGAGGAGTGCTCCACTGTGAATGTGATAAACATCCAAGTGATGTCTCAGGTAGACTTCATAGTCCTTGCACCCTGAGCCCCAGAGTGGGCTTAGAGATGTCATCAATGTGCCCAGGAATCATGGGCATGAGTTGTTTTGAATCAGATTCTAGAGTTTAATTTGAAACACCAACATGGGTTGGGTCAATGAGCTCTGCTCTCTTCCTTGTCTCAGACCATGCCTGTGTCATCCTGGGCCCACTATCAAGATATTGGACCCAAGACAGATGTGACAAATTCACACCGACCTGTGCAGCATATTTCCAAGAGGTGTCTGTGAGATGTCTTAATTTGAATACAATTTGTCTTTCCAGCTATTATTGTGTTCCTTATAAATTTCTTTTCCCAACCATGTCCCTTGAGGTTCTATGACTGCCCAAGGTCAGTGGCATCTTTATCTACCTTTCTGTGGAAAATGATACCAAGGTTTCATTGAACCCAGGCCCATTCTCTATGTCTTTGATGTTGGCTTGTTGTAGCTAAGCAGGCCATTGACTTGCTGGTATGTTTCTGGAAGCAAGACTGACCACTGTCACTCCTAGATGCCCAAATAGCCATTGTTACTGTGTAGCACAGAGATTCATTTTGATTCAAGAGTATATAGATTCCCTCCATCCTTCTAATTTCAGCATCTAAAATGCTGTAAACCGTGAACAACCTTGGTATTCGATGAGGGAAGGCTACATATTGCAGTTTCCTTTCTAGAAAACATCTGGGCGTATTTGCTTTGAATTGGTATGAAAAATATTGCTTACCTGTTTGCACAGTCTCAGGACAGATCGTATTGAGATAATGATCTACAAGAATAGGGAGATTTCACCCCTAGGCTCAGGGAAATCCAAGGCATTTCTATCATGACAGGACCTCAGGCCTCCCAAAATATTTCTCTCACAGTGTCCCGTTCTCACACTGAGGAGACTGATGGCTCTGTGTTAGGACTGGATGGTGGACTGTTCATGGGTGTAGGAGAATCTGCTTAATTTGTCTCTCCCTGTCTGAAATTATTGACAGAACTTGAACATGACCAAGAGGATGTGAAGGACCAAGACCCATCAGGCCCTAGATAACTCCAAGGAACTACAGACAGTTAATTCAGTGGACATCTGGAGACTCTGGATGCAGGAAAAATCAGAATGTGCTGAATATTTGTTCCATCTATTCAGCCAATCATGAAATATTTTTTGTTATTAGAATTGCCTGTTTTCATTGTATAGCTGTATTTGTATTTCCCCTTCTTTATTAATTCCTCTCAATTGTACTAATCTCTCTTCAGTTGACTCAGTTGAACTGATCTATCAGAGATATTTTCTGCAGTCCCCTTTTCTATCATTTTTGTTTAATGCACATCTGATGTCTGTGCTTTGGCATTACCACGTGTGCAAGTATTTCACAGCATGAAAATGAATGAAAAAATTCATATCTTGCTACAATATTGAGAAAAAGAGATGTTGGGGATACAATATCTCTAAGAGTCTAGGAAAACTCAAGAGCCCATGTTCATTTGGCCACTGCATGCTGCTATGAATACAATTTATGCAAAAATGCTGAATGCACCATGATGTCCCTCCATGTGCATTGTGTGTCATGGCTGTTTTGTACAGGGATCATTCCATCTCCTTCGTCCTCAGCTCATTGTCTACCCATTGCACCGAGCCTCTGCTGCTCTCTTTCTTCTGCCCCAGAAGAGGAAGGATTGTTCTATCTCTCTGAGGGGCCTGCCCTTTCCTTCCTCTGGCCCCTCCTGTAGGCCTCCCTTTAGAGCCAGCTGGGCACTGTGGTTTTGCTTCCCTCTGGTGTTTATCTTCAGTCTTCTTCACTCACCAGGCCCAGCAGGCAGCTGCTGGAGGTAAAAGAGCTCAGTGTCACAGAGGACTCACTGGATGAAAGTTACTTGACTCCTTCGATTGAATATGACCTATGTGACTGCCACCAGACTTACAATAGCACCTTGTGCTCATTGGAGGAACAGCTCACCTGCTGTGCTCTGGATTCAGCCTGTGAGTACTTCATCCCAAAGGTCATAAAGCTCCACTGGTCTCCCTTCCAGGCAGCCTCTCTATTTTTTTGTTTCCTGCAATTTGTGCAGGCTGAGACATGACATCCCTGTACTTAGATTGTTTTGAATCTGGCTCTTGGATACAGTTTTAAACACAGACATCCAATGCGTGGAACTTTCCTCTTCTCTTGTCCTAGGTGACTCCTTTGTCACCAGGCCCTTTCTCACAAGAGTGGGATGTGGGCATCAAGACAGGCCTGAGAAGGGAAAAGGTGAGTGGCAATTGCAAACACTCGGCCATCTGTAGCTCAGCTGAAGACATTTGTATGAAAGACCTCCTTCTTTAAGATAAGACATCTCTCTTTGGTGAAAGTATGTTGCTAGTTGCATTTCCTGGACAGTGCCCTTCACTATTCTCTAGTCAACCACTTGTGCTGGCAGTTTTGCCCAATTATTTTGGAGGTCTGTTTTCATGATTCCTATGTCCCAGGCCAGATTCTCAACTTCTTCTGAGGTGGCTTCCCTCCAGCTGAAGCAAGCGAGTGTCCCATCCTGCCTGCATGGCCATGGCTTTTGTTCTTTGTGGAGCACTGGTGATTTTTTTCCACGTGTGGGTTTATAATTTCAATCATGTGTCTGGTCTCAGTGTCATAATGTCACATAAGCCATCAAAAACTAGTGTCCCTGATGAGGTGCTGGCCTAACTGATGAGCTAAATCCATCATGTGGTTGGAACCATGTGGTTCCCATCCCCATGATCTCCAGGAGATCCTTCCTCTTGACTGGCTGTCCCACGGGGTAGCAGCTTCATAGGGTGTGTGGAGAAAAAAATCCAATTTTCATTTCTTCCCACTCATTAGATTTTTTTGGCGTTCTGAGAGTTGCATGCGGATTTTTGAGCATTTTACCCATAAAATCATCTTGTGGTAGGAGCAAGTAACTCTGTGATACTCTCCGATATATCTCATTATATTCTAATGAAATTAGCAATTAAAATATTGGTCTTGGATACTATTTAGGTGGGTAAGTGTCTTTTGTGCTAGGACCATTCGGTTTCCTGTTTTCCATTTCTCCTTGAGGTTCAGAGAAGCAAAGACTTTTCTCAGGATCACAGGGATTCATGAAACAGACAAAAATATGCATTTACCTTGTCTCTGTTGTGTGCCATGCTCCTTGCCAAGTGAGCTCTGTCTACGCTTGTCTCTGGCCCATTCAGTGCTCAAGGGACACTCCCAAGTAGGTGGTGGCATCTCCGTGTTAGAGCTGAAGACTGTGTTGAGGCTCAGCAAGATCCCTCACTTGCCCCGTAGGTGATGGCCTGACTAGTATTGGTGGGACCATGGCCCAGTGTCTGCCCTATTCCACAGCCCAGTCTCCATCTACTTCTCTGCAGTGGCTTCTTTCAGGGGCTGAGCTTAGATGGGTGCTTACCCTTTTTCCTTTTGCAGCAAATCGTTTTGAAATACTTTCAAGCTTAAACAGAAAAGCTTCCAGTCTGGTACAAAGAACTCTGGTAGCCCTGGCACAGATTCCCTAAGAAAGAAAACCTTGTGCACTTTGTCTGTCCCCAGAGCCAGCGCCTCCTCCAATCCCTAAAGGGGAAGCTCCAGCTCCAGGAGGCTCTCCCTGGAAAGTCAATCAGGAGCTGAAAGGTCCTGCTCTCCTCCACCCACTGTCCTCAGAGGTTCTGCTCTGAACTGGGCTGTCCTGGTAAAGCTGCAGGGCTCTGCCTCAGAAACACTCCAGCCAAGATGGGGCTCCCATGAGGAGGAAGGGAAATGCTCAGACACATGTCTCAGAAGTGAGATGTGTGCAATGTGGGACGGCCCTGCCAGGGCATCATGAAACATGGGCCAGAGAGGCCAAATGCTTCTTTGCAGATGATTGGGATGAATGAAGGCACTATCCAGATTGTACAAGGATGCATCCTTTGTGTGGGTTCACACACTATGCGTGAATAGTGTGTATAGGGGAAAGCCTTGACCCCAGCAGCAGTGACACAGGAGGTCAGCTCCGCTGCATCCTCTCTCTGCAGGGAAAACGTTGGTAGAATCAGTGAGAAGACAACCTAAATTATAACTTGATCTTTTATTGGCGGCTTTTCCCTACCTGCCCAACTAATAAAATATACAGTACTTCAGAAGTTTGAGAAAATTCTAAGAATATTCAAAGTATAAGTTTAATAAGATTTGGTAGTCTGAAAAAGAATGATAAAATGACATGATGAAGTTAAGTAGTGATGACTAAAAACATTCCTAGAGCTTGATTCCTGTCCAAATGCAGAGGACAAGAATGGGGAGACCTGGGTTTGAACAGTCTTTACCAACCAGATTTGCTGTTTCAAGATGTTTTCCCCATCAGCCCAATATAGACTATCATGGAATCTTAAAGATGTCCTCAGTGACTGATGGGTGATGATTAGAAAACTGTGTCCTGAGTAACTACGGAGGTCACACCAAGCTGAGAGTAGGGCTTGTGGACAGACCAGAGGCCTGGAGGCACCCAGTGCAGAGCTGGGGCCAGTGAGGGGCCATCCTGACTCCAGCGGAGAATTTGTATGAGGGAGTAGTAGGAAGGGATATTGGATGAGAATACGGGCCAGAAGTTAGAAGGAGAACAAAGGCAGGGTCGGGGGTGAGAGTCATGTAGTGGGCAATGGAGAGAAAGTTTTCAGAAGTGAGCGGGAATGTGATAAGAACAGGGTGATAAAACTGTTGATTCAATTGCCAGTGTAGAGATGGCAGAATCAGAGAAGGCAGTTAGGGAGACTGTATGAAGCCAAGAATGAGTGATGAGAGTCTGATATAACTGCTCTCAGGAAGATGAAGTAGAGTAGATACGTGAAAGACATTTTACGAAAAACTTAAGGAAACCTTGGTGAGAATGAGGATGTGTAGAGGGAGGAGCTCCACAGCAATGTGGAGCAGGTCCTGAGGGCTCCGTCCCCTTCCTAGGCTGACCTTGGATTGGCGGAGGCCTTTCGAAGTCTCTCATTAGGCCACCCTCTGAGAATGTGTGTTTTTCTCTCTATGGAAATAGAAATAATTTTTATCAGGGAATACAGCCCCGATCCCACTGGAAAAATGGGTAATATGAAGATTGAGCATTGTGTTACCTCCATAAAGAACCACAAATTCTGATCTGTAGCACTTCTGGCCCCTAAATTTTCATAAAGGGACTGGTTCCTGTATTACATTGCTTAAGGCTGCTAATAACCACTGTATGGCAATAGAATGTATATGTGTGGGGAGGTGGTAAAACTATTGCAGGCAACAGGAAATTCAAAATGCCCTAGGACCCTGAAAAGTTCACCTCACTTAGTATTTGGTATTTAATATTCCAACTCCCTTTTACGTCACTCCCTCCCAAAGCCTCGAGGCTCTAAATATTCCGCTGTTCTTCTTCTCCTATGTGTTTAGATAAACAACTCTTCCTCTCCTGTGTTCTGGAAGCTCTCTAAAACTATCACTCTAGGGTGCAGGGAAAAGATGAATAATAATGAATAATAGGCATGACCTTGTTAGACAATCCAGAGCCTCAGGGGTCAAGTGGGGGTTTTTCAGTAAATGGGTACTCTAGCCTGGGAACCTGTGGTCTCAGCATCCCCAGTCACAGACATGAAAGGTGACATCGCCTTTGTTTACATGATGTCTGTCTTCATGCCCTGGGTCACTGGGTGCACTGGGTCATTTTATGGAGAGGCAGGGACTTCAGAGATGGGTGTTTTGGGAATGCTTAGCAAAGGGGAAACTGAAATTGTTCCTACTAAACCCCCTTCTCCTTTCAGTTCCCACCCAGGAGGCCTGTCCCCAAGGGCCTTGGAGTGGAGACTTGAGCCACCACCTGTCAGAGGTGCAATCTTCACATGCACAGCTGGAGCCAAGCACCCTGGTGCTCAGTTGTGTGCAATTGCAGCTGGATCAATGGTTTGATTATGGCTATAGCATGGCCAGGCAGGGCCCTTCTTCCACCACCTGGACCTTCACAGCCAAAACTGATTCTGGGAACCAATGGCCCTTCCAAGGTAGGGAAGGAAACGGGAATAGGAAACTCTAATCCAGGTGCTGGCTGTCATGGTGTTGTGGGTGGAGGAGACAAGGGGGGCTCTGCATGCTCACTGAGGGTCAACTTGAAATCCACGTTGCTCTAACATAGTGAAGTGAGTAAGGACCTGGGGTTTATGAACAAATCTGCTCTCAGGTCCTGGGTAAGGACCTGGGGTTTATGAACAAATCTGCTCTCAGGTCCTGGGTTTGCCACTTACAGTTGTTCACCTTGGCCAAGTTATTTGTCTTTTTGGTATTAATATCTCGTTTCCTCAGAAATGATATCTACCTGTAATCGTTGTTCAGAGCATTAATTATGAGAATTTCCAGAGTGATGTATTCAATAAGAATTGCTCAATAAACCTATGAATAGATGTTATCTAATTCTTTTATCTTTCTGGCAAATTAACACTCAGAATGTGACTTCACATGTGTTTTTTCATCTGAGGTAGAACGATTTTTAAGATCTCTACTTTTAAGGGACCCCTCTTCCTTTGCTTTCTCAGTAAGTCTCATTTGCCAATTTCTTCTCTCTCCTTCACCATCCCTTATTAAGCTAATTTCCCCCCCATTAGGCACTTTCAATAGCAATGTATTCGGCACATTTAATAAAATTAGAAATTCTGGTCCCACAAATCAGTCTCCTGACATACCCAGCTTCTTTTTTTTTTTTTTTTCTGTTTTTACACTCTCCTTGAAATAAAGGGAAACTTTCATATGTAAAGTGTACAAATCAGTTTCTTTCATGATACTCCATTTAGTTCACCATCTCCATTCATCTCCACAGCTATGTCCTCAGTTTCCTTCTCACAAGGATCCACTTCTGCTCAGATTTTCTTCACTCTGGGTCGTGTTCATCCTTACTCTCTGTCCCTCTCACTATCTCCTTCTGGAGCCTCTGTGGCTGCGTGGTGCTCCTCTGTCAGGTGATGTCCCCATCTGAGACATCAGGAAATGCATGTCCTCAGGAGCCGGTGAGGGTCATGTGAAGTGATGAGCACCAGTCTGGCTCCAAGGAGAGGTTTCATGGAAAGTGCTCATTGAGTGTCGGAGCTGCACAGTTCCTGACATGTACTATGATAACTTGTAGTATTTAATCCTCTTTTCTTTCTTCCTGTCTCTCTTTTACTTCTCCATGTATTCCAACAGCTCCAACCAGAACTAACCTTACTGCTTCAGACACTGTCTCTCTTGCTCACTTTCCCCAGAGTCCTGAACATGAACCAGGCTCCAGGCAAGAAGATAGAATGATTGCTTTCTGTTTTATTCTCCTTCACCTGGTGATTTCTTCTTGCTGTCTAACAGGTCATTTGTTTTTCAGTACACCTTCTATCTCATTCTTCTCATGTTTCTAATTGGTTTTTCCAACTTCAACAGAGCAGGATAATGATTATAATATTATGTTCCATATCTTAGGAGATATCGCCTAAGATATGGAACATGATTATGTAATTATTCAATTAGGTTAATATATATTGTTATATACACTTACATCATTTGTCATATACATTATATATATTTGGTTTGTATATTATATGGAGTGTATATATCTGAAATATATATTTATGCAAGTTTTATAAATTCACAAGGTTTAGTCTTCCATAGTTCTTTTCTTTTAAGACATGTTCCTTTAATTTTAATTTTGCTTGATTTTTATAATTCCCCCTTTAAAAAAGCACAGCCTATATCCCGTATAATTTCCTTGCCTTTGCCTTATACCCCGGGAGCTCTTTGTGTTCATTAATTTAATTTTTCTTGAATATTTTTATCAATTGGGGGCACCTTTGTCTTCCAGTAATCTTATCATTAATGTAAGAAAAATCAACAGCAATACAAATCAAAGTGTCTCTACTGGCTTCACCTTACCTCTTGGATGTTCATGTCTAGAGCTACTTTCTTTGATACTCCTCTTGGGTAGAAGAGTAAGTCACAGTAAGATCGTGGATAATAGTGGATCTTGATGGCTGTGGTTTTATTTTCAGAGCTGGGTTTGGAGCCTTCCCTTGGAATGAAGAACCCTCCCCAACTGGAGGGTGATGATCTCGAAGGTCCAGCTGACAACACGCATGGGTGTCAAGTCATTGGCCACGTCCATGCCTCAAGTGTCCTGAAACAGATTATCAAAAGAAAACTGCTGTTGAGCAAGTTCAGACTGGCATGCAGATTCCCTCGCCTTCAAGCTTAAGGTACAGAGGTAATCACGTCAATGGCTCTTTGATGCACTCATTCCTTATTTATCTGTCTATGATGACAGCTCATTCTCCCAATACATTTTTTTGGTCTTACTTCTGTGTCCCATGGGCTGCCACCCTGCCAAGCCCTCCCATCCTCATCTCCTGTTTGCTCTCTGAACTCTACTCTGTTCCTACTGTTGTTGTCCTGATAGTCCCTCTCATGGCAACAGGAGAGACTGGTTCCACTCTCCTGATCCAAAGAGCATATGTTAAGCTGCTGAACAGCAGTCCTTTGCCTGAAATCACACACTTTTTTTTTTTTTTTGGCGTATTTGCTTTTCCTTCCCCAAACTCCATTGCTTCTTTCTGGAGGGAGCATTGCCTTAATACATCATTTACACGTAGACTTTCCTCTTGGGTCTGATTCTGAGCAACCCAACGAAATCAATCCTTAATCCTCACCTTATACATGTGAATGAGAAGTGCTAAAACTGAGCACAAAGAAGTCCAATTAGAAATTAAATTAGAACCTGGGTGACAGGTGGGCATTCTCTATTGGCCTGGAGTCATGTTTGTCTTCACCCTTTAGTCAGATATGCAGCCTAGTGCCAACGTGAATGGAGTTTTCAGGGACTCAGTGTCTGCACCTCATGGACTCATTTGAGCTGACATAAACTGGAGGACATTTATGGCACCCTAAAGGGAAATCAGTCCAAAAGTAGATGCAGAGGGCAGTACTTCAGAACTGCACCGATCATGAGGTGCATCCTAATCTCCCTTTAAAAATTTCTGATTTAAATGCAACTCAGGTGAATTTTGAGGCCAGGAAACATAAATGAGCATTTTATAATCCAACTTTGGGCAAAGTGAGTCTAGGGTCCAGCTTTATGAATACCCAGGATGGTAGACAATAATAGAGGACAATCTGTGTCTTGGATTAGCCCAGTTGACAAGAGAGTAATTTAACTGAAATAATTAGAAGGAAGAATAAAGTCCATAGAGCCACTGAGAATGAAGCTAATTGTGAGAGAAATGGAGAATGGAAAGAAAATGATGGGGAATTGGGCTGCTACATTCGGTATCTCTAAATCCTGCTGCCATGCAATAAGCACCTGGTGAGATTTCATTTAACATGAAATCCTTGAACTGACACCTTGAGATTCTCACTTAACTGTTCTGGGCATGGTTTGGGCATCACTAGCTTTCAAAAGCTCCCATGTGATTCTAATACACAGCTAAAGATGACTAGGACTTTTGATCTACTATGATCTCAGGTTATCAACATGGAAGTGCCCCAGATGTGTGACTACTTCTTAGAAAAGGCTAAATATCCATCAGTCATTGATGAGATTTGTGTTCTCATCTCAACAATACCGTTTGTATAATGTGGTTAAAAAAAAAACAAGAAAAAAAAGAGAAAATGGGTGGATTAGACATCTTTACTTGAAGCACTCTTGCTCAAACTCTTTTGAATATAAGATAAAATAAGAAATAATTAATACATTTAAACAAAGCATGCAGAAAACAGTTTCTCCTTTTATAACACATAATGAAACTTAGTATTTTCCTTTTAACTTGTAAAATAAAACATGCAGTTTGCATTTCCCCACATTAATTTCACAGTTCACTAATGGGTCCAGCACTACAATATGAATACTTTATTTTGGTCAATTGTTATAATTCAGTAAAATCCTTTAAGAGAACTCTTAAGTCTCATTCCCCTGAAGAGAGCATAATAGTAAATTCAAACTGAAACTCAGGAAGTGAATGTATACATGTACTTCCTTATGCCACTCTTGAAACTGGCATAAAATACTAAAAAGAAATCTTTCCCATAAAAGTACATTGGGAAAAAAAAGACTGGGAGGGGAAGGAGAACCTAGTAAAAATATAATCCTTTTCAATTTCCACTTTTGAAATTCATTGGTCTAGATATTGAGAATATTTCTAGAAATGACTTAAAGTGTAAGTAGGTGTGGAATCAATTTCAGAGAATTAGGGACAATAAGTTGGGCCTTGGTTACAATACCTGCTCTCTCTCTTTGTTAATTCTACTTTGAGTCTCTACTTTTTCCTTTCTTTCCTGGTCCCCTTTGGATAACACTTACAATATTTCTCTGTTAAACCTTATTCCTGTCCTAGCCAAGGTCACCAACAGGCTCTAATGACTGTTGAGACCTCCAGATTGAAGCATCTCCTCTCTCTTCCTCCAAACTTTATGAAAAGAGCCTGAGGCTTGGGTTCTAGTTCCAGGCTTGTCAGTAGGCAAGTCATGTCACCTTAGTTAAATGTTAGCCACATGGCATCACTGGCTCCTCTATTGTTAAAGGCAGAACTGGACTTAGATGTTGTCTGAGGTCCCTGCTGGCTCTCACATGTAGGGTTCTTCTCATAGCCTACCCACTCCTCTCTAAAAGGCTGAGACATAAGTTATAAGGGGGTGGGTTTCTCTGCAGAGGGTCCTCTCCTTCCTGAAGTCCTCTGTTCCCGAGTGTGCATGATTGATTCTGAGCACACCCTCACAGGGAGGTGTAAAAAGATATCACTTTGCTCCAGACAAAGGGGATGAAGAGGAAAGTGGTTGATATTACAAGCTGCTGGTGGGGTGAGGGCAGGGTGCCTATATTCTGCACTGCAGGCTGACTGTAAATTAGGGGATGTTTTCTTCTAACTTGTGGATAGCATTTGCCCCTTTAGCAAGCCTGAAGCTCACCCTTCAGCTTATCCTCTCTGCAGGAGTTCAGTTTGCCCCTGGGCGTATCACCACTTCGCAATCCCTCCAGACTCAGCAGTCAGCAGGACCTGACAAGGACTCACTTGGTTTTCTTTTTCTTTTTTCCAGATATCAACTACTGTTGGAATTAGGGAAAGAATAAAAATAAGCCACCAAAAGTAGCTTTTCCACCTGATGAAAATACCTAAAACCGCAAATCAAGTATAAGAATGTAATATTGATTTAACATACAACCTTCAACAAAAATAAAGTTTATACAACTCACTAGGAAATAAAATGCATGTAGAATTTATCCTGTTTGTCAACGTAATTCTTCATGAGTCACAAGTATTATAGCCAAGAACAAAACAAACTAATGAAAAGCTGAATGAATCAGTTTATGGTTACTCTGATTTAAAAAACATTTCACAAAAAAGATGTAGCTTTCCAAACAAACCCATTTGATAACCATGATCACAACTAGATTTTATTCTAATTTATAAAACAAAAACATGGTTAGATAGGCACATGATATCAAGAGTCTTCAACCTAGTGGATTCCATTTTATTAAGAAAAAAAATAAAGAAAACAAGTAGTCCTTAAATTTTCTTAGCTCTCTATAGCATACATTGTATAACATTAAAGTTTTGCTTCCAAAAATATGTTTCCATGTGGTCATGGTATTGTCCAGTACTATTAGGGCCAAAACACCAAAGACATGAGAAGTTTAATCACTGACTTGTCATTTTTCATAAAAACTAAACATTTCCTTAAAGGTCTGGAGTAAAATCTTCCAGGCATTTTAGTGCTGAAAGTCATTTTAAATTAAGTGCGAAATAAAAGCTACAAAAAGTCTGAGTTCTTTCGATACAAAAAGCTGTGTAGCTGAAGTTGTGGGCTTCTTTGACATACATAAGCAGTTTCAAGAAAATATTTGCTCAGGTAAGGAAATAGAATTTGTCTGCTTTCACTTAGCATACGCTCCAGTCCATGTCCTGCTTATACAATGTCCTCCTTATACCATGTCCTGCTTATACCTGCCAGAATTTCTAAAGAACATTAGAATCGATATTTCTTTCCTTCAAAGAGCATCTGTAATTCACAGTACAAAACAGTTCTAAAGTCCTGCTCCGTCTGTCGGACTCTTATACTCATAGACAGTCAGAAGCGGAAGGCCTTAGAGTCCATGAACTCCAAACCCCTCTTCTTATTTTACAATCAAAAACACTGGCATAAAGGGGTGTTATTAGGTGATTTGCCTAAAGACTCACAGCTGGTCATGCTCTTCCATGGGCCCACAGCCCTGCTGAGGTATCTCAAACTGGGTTCCCAGGAACGAGTTGAGTTAGTATTACTCAAGGTCAACATCATCTTCATGAATCTCAAGGCAAAAGCTGCCCTTTCTCTTCTGCTGTGTTAGCTCAGGCATTGGCTGCCCTGAGTGAGCAGAGTAGGTGGAAAGTCAAAACGATAAGAGCAGGGTAAAGGTGCCCTGTCACTTAGCATATCAGATGAACGTCTGGAAACAGCTGGCTCACAGTCATTCCGGTGTTTCCTGGATAGGACCGAACAGTCAGATTCTTGCACATCTAAGACTAACTAATACACACGTGATGGTTAGTACTGAGTGTGAACTTGATTAGATTGAAGGATGTAAAGTATTGATCCTGGGTGTGTCTGTGAGGCTGTTGCCAAAGGAGATTAACATTTGAGTCAGTGGGCTGGGGAAGGCAGACCCACCCTTAATCTGGTGAGCACCATCTAATCAGCTGCTAGCGAATATAAAGCAGGCAGAAAAACGTGAAAAGGCGAGACAGGCCTAGCCTCCCAGCCTACGTCTTCCTCCCATGCTGAATGCTTCTGCCCTTGAACATCGGACTCCAATTTCTTCAGTTTTGAGACTTGGACTGGCCCTCTTTGCTCCTCAGGCTTGCAGACAGCCTGTTGTGGGACCTCGTGATCGTGTAAGTTAATATTTAATAAACTCCACTTTATATATATATAAACATATATATATAACATTTATAACACATATATAACGTGTGTATATCTATATATATAAGTTCTGTCCCTCTAGAGAACTCTGACTAATAAAACACAGCTGTAGTTTCCTGAAAAATGCCAAAAGCAATATGTGAGTAGCATGCGGCAGTCCGGAGGTTTTTTTCCTTTTTTAAATATAAGTAATATCTACCTTTATATATTACACAGAATTCTCACTGCTCTCCACATCTTTTCAGATGTCCTACCTTTATGTCATTTGACACATTTGAATAAATAGCTTCAATTAGTTATTTCCAAATCTTCTTTTTATGTGGTCATGATGTTTCTTCTGCCCTTGAGCTTTAAGAAGCTATCACTAAATGGCAGTGGTGGTTTGGTGGAGCTGTTGAAGTGTTGAAGGGACACACCAAGAAGTATAGGTGATGATGGCTTCATCAGGGCCCCCAGTCTGTTCTTGTTGTGTCCTCTCATCCAGGTCTATTCCTGAGCGTGAATTTCCTGCTTTGATGTCACTTTGCCCAAAGCTAAATCCTCTCTCTTCTCTTATGAGCCAGCTGCTGCTCCACTTCCCTTGTCTTTGTCAGTGGCACCACTAATTACATATTGCCTTAGACTCTGGGGTAAATCATGTAAACCTATGAGGTGTCTTACTTGTCCTTGCTTTTGCTATCCAGTACCAGGCCCTGAATGGTCTTTCTTGGCAACATCTCTCTCTCTATTCCTCATTCTCATTGCTGTAATACCCACTGCCCAGGTTTGGCCTTCATTGTCTCACACCTGCATACATAAAATAGCTTCCTAGTTCATGTCCCTGTCTCTTGCCTCAGTAGGCACACTGAGTCCTCTTCACACCCACCCACTTTCTATGGTAGCTCTCAGAGGTAGCTCTGTGCTGGTGTATCCTGTGCCTTAACATGTGACAATGAGTCTGGAATGGGACTAATGGTCACTGACTTACTGGTTGAATCCTAAATTCCTGCACACCTGTTTTCTACAACCTACAGTGCCCCCCTCTCTGATACTTTAAGAAGGGTAGAAGGGTGAATTGCTCTGCTTGTCCTCTGTAGTACTCCTCGTCTGTCCTTCTGATTTCAGTTGTTCCACTAAAGGGACAGTAGGTTATTTTGGGATAGAAGAGGGAGGCTTCAGTTCTCTCCATAATGTCCATTAGCCCCTCAAATCCACTTCAGGTAGGAAAATAATCTAAAAGTGAAGACAGTAAGTTTGCTTTCCCTGAAGATAAGCCCAGTTTCTCCTCCCATCTGATGGCAGCTCCAGAGCCGACATAGATGCAGCCCCTCTGTGTATATTCAATGGCTCCCTAGCACCCTTCTTCCTGATTCTCTACCCATCTAGAAGGGCTGTGCGATGAATTCACCAGGAATGCCTTTACGCAGACTCTTTTCCTATGCAAATCCTGCCCATGCATCACTACCCAACTGAAGCCTCCTCCCATGCAATCCTAATAGATCCCACTTCATTAAATTGCCCCAATACATTTACCACTCCTGTGTTCACTTGAATATTTTAGGGCTCAGAACAGGACACCCCACAGTATGGTGCCTTGGCATGTTGAGCCCCTTGAACTGAAAGAAACCAAAAGGAAACCAAATCTGGCCTCAGAGGCAAGATCTGTCTGACCCGCTCTCACTCTTTGTTCTCCTACTCTCCTTTCTCTCCCATGGCAAGCCATAGAAACTAGAATTCCTCTTCCCACAGGCAGGTCACAGAAAGGGGAATCCCTCTGCCCCAAAGTGGTCATAAAACCTAAAATATGACTCTCACCTTTCATCCAGGCCTTTCTGTGTAGGAGCTGGCCATAAAATAAATTCTCTAACCTACTCTGTCTGCTAGCAGGTCCTAAGATCTGCATGCCAGATGGGTCCTGCCCCATACCTGGGAGCAGGAAATGTCGCACAGAGGGGCCATGGAGAACTGCAGCTGAAGGCCTGCGGGGTTTCCCTGGTGGTCTATTACTATTGGATCTTTTCTTTTTTGTTGGATCATGTTGCTGTCCAGTCTTCATGGAGTCTAAGTTTAGCAATGGACAGTTGTCCTTTGGGTCTTTGGGCCTTCACTCTGAAGGCTCCCATGTTGTGGAAACTTGGATTAAATAGATATGCTCTGCTTTCTCTTGCTCACCTGCCATTTGTTGTAGGTAGGTCAGCTGTGACCCTGAGGATGGGTGAGGAAGGGCATTGCACTTTTGCCCCTACGGTGGATATAGTGTTTTGTATTCACCAAGCCTAAGCATCCTTTTTCATAAAGTTAGACTATTCAGAGAGAGGAGTTTTAAAAGGTAAGTTAGAGACATGTGCTTTTCTGTGGTAAATGTGGGTCTTTAAGTTTTACAAACATAAAGGTTGACTTTTTGTTGTTGTTAGGATCTCCAACTTGCTAATTGATTCTCCCTGGAGTCACTGCAAAAGGGTCACTGGGAACAAATGGGGCCTTTGTAGGGGTGGGGCAGGAACATGAGCTTGGCAATAAGTCCAACCTGGATTCCAATCTAGCTCTGCTACTTACCTATGTGATCCCAAGCAAGACAGGGTCACCCAACTTTTCTGAGCCTTAGGTAAAATCACGATATCTTAACAGGGTATTTTTTAGAAGTGAATGAGGTAATATATATGCAGGACCTGGTGATTAGTTCTTATAAACTATCTCTAATACTAGGGAAAGGTGTCTAAGAATCCCTGCCTGACTGAAATAGGTTCAGGTTCATAGTCATGGGACAAAGTAGATTGTAATGGTGAGATGTGTGGAAAACATGTAGAGTGGAAGAGATTTTGTGGAGTTATGAGGCAGAGACAAAGGAAGAGAATTAGAAATGGAGATGCTGAACCCTGGGAGGATGGGGAAATGCATGAGGGAGCACTGTCCAGGGGGAAGTGGACAGGAATGGTCAAGGCTGACCAGCAAGTGTGTTTCCCATGAAGACTCAGAAACAGGCCTGGCCACTGTCGTCCGGCAGTGTCATCGAGAAGACAGCATGTGGCTTTGGAGGAAGCCAATCAAAGTTCTAATCCCAGTCCCACATTTTCTGACTGTAAGATCCTAAGCAAGTAATTCAACCTCTTTGGTTCTCCTCTTTCTTCCCTAAGAAATGGTGATTGTACAGCCCATTTTCCCTACCTATGTCCCTTTCCTCCTTGGAGTACAGGCAGACTTCATTTCCCCATCTCCCTTGCATATGATGTGGCCATATGACTGAGTTCTAGGCAGTGAAATGTGAGCATGAATCATGCATGTGCCTTCCAGGCCTAGCCCACAGAAACCACCTTCATGATCCTCCACTCTCTCCACATG